TATAATGCATTTGGGTGGACTGACTCACATGTGGGAGGCACTGAGTCTCCCAGATGACTTATTTGCGAGTGTAATAAATACTGGACATTTTACTGAAGAAATTAAGTGGCTGAAGTTTTTAGCCCTGACACATAAACTGATTGGAGTTCTAAGTTTATTCATACTTTTATGTTATCCTGGATGAATACACTGTATATTGTGATTTTCAGTGAATACTTTTGTTGAAAAAGGAGACTGAGTAATCACATGTTATAACCAGCTAACCACTAACCCAGCTGCTGTTTTTAAAGTCAGGAGGAAATCTTTTTTGGGAATACAGGAATTACTTTAACTATATTTTTTCAGGGATCAATGGAGCAAGAATATTCATAGTAAGCTCTTTTCCAGCTTTTTCCTTTCCAACAGATTCCAATTTGCAACAGATTAAGCATTGGGGAAGACTGCTGGAGAGAAAGGGACACAGGTTGCAAGCTTCACCTAACAATTTGCTAAAGCCGTTTCCGCAGTGCTATGCTGCAGCTGTGAGGGTAAGCGCAAGAGAGTTCCTTTGTTTCCAGCATCACTCAGCAAATACGATTGATTAAAAGTATCCTGGTTCTCTCTTAGTATTCCTCACTCATGCTGATTTTTTGTAATTAATGTAGATGACTGGAGCAAACTTCTTGTGTCAAAGGAAACAGATCAGCATCTTTTTACCACTACATAATATTCAGACAATCTCTGTCAAAGAAACCCAAGAATATGAGGGAAACTTAGTACCATAGCATGTGTTTTCAGTTACTAAGAAAACCAAAAGGCAGGCAGTGGGTTTGGATCTAATAGCAATTGATCATCAATTTGTATGGGAAGCAGATTGCAGTCTTCTCAAATAACCTCAAGAAACTGGAATGTAAAAGCCTATCAGTTAATGCTGACAATACAGCAAATGCAGTAATAGATATCACTATGGATTCAGAAAAGTACCTAGATTTTATATTTAGTAGAACAATAAATAAATAGTGCCATAAAGGTTTAGCCAAAAATTACTATTTTCATACATACACTTTCACTAATAAAACATTATTCCTATCAGTAGGATTGCCTGAAAAAAGGCAAATATGGATAAAGAGTCTATGAAATACCAGTGGAATGTTCCCAATGTTACTTAAACAAAAATATGGATCGATTTATCTTAAGGAAATAACGAGTCACTTTTTGGTGTAAATGCAGTTATTATTTTACATTCACGTGGCGCCATCTCGTGGGACTCAAAACTCATGCACAAGTACTTTGTCCAGCACAATGTCACCAGCTTTCTGAAAACTCTGGGTTGTTACTTAAACTGTCATCAGCTCTGAAAGGTCAAACAGCTTGAATCTTAGTGATGCTTCCTACATGTCATAACTCAATACCCTTGTGATCTCACCTTTGTGAGGACTTCTCGAGGTGAAGAGCATTTAACATGCTTTACATAAGACACTTCACTGAAATGGGGGCAGACAGGCCAAAACTAAGTTCTTTAGATTTTTCCCACTATATTTACATATTAGGAAAAGAAATTCATAGCTTATACACCCACTCATTCCAAAAACATCACAAAATCAAAATTTGATGACAGGCCTTCTGTACCACACAGATTATGGGTCTTCCATGCAGTGGGTCCTGCTGCACCTTTCAATAAATGTGATTGAACTAAAGCATATCTTTGATCAAGACACTGAAAATCTAGTGGAACACTTTGTAGATTATTTACAAATCTATTTTAAAATTGCATCACAGTTCTAGGGTCCATAAAATCCAGCTTAATCTCATCATTGTATCTTTACCTACCAAACTGAAAAGTTCTCTACTAAATTTCTACTTCCTCTAATAGTATTTTTACTGTGGTCAAGATATCCCTTAAGCCTGTCTTTGACAAATGAAGTACCTGCTTTCTGTAGGTTGTATTCTTAACTACATATTCATTGCTATTCATCTCCCCTTTTCTCTTTGTTATTTGTAGACTGGAGGACAGACAAAAAAGCTATTCATTCTCTTTCCATTAGCGAAGTTGTAGTTTTACTCCTTAATTATAGATTTATGAGGGTTTGGGCACCTACCAAAGTACTCTTAAACAACAATCAGTTATCACTGATATTCTTGGCCTACTTGTCTCATAAAAAGCTCCTAATTTTGTGAAATACTCCCTTGCTAAGCCCACACAAATTTTTCGTTGTAACCCATTCAGAGGAAAGCTTAATGTTAGTTTGCGCTAGTGTTTGATCATGCTTGGGTTAGTACTTAACTAGATGACTAGACCCTTGTTTGTACTGGTAGCAGGAGACTTCCAGAACTTACAGTGAATGAGAACATGACTTGGTTTTCCTACATAGGTACTGAAAAAGCTCCATTTTCTGATGAAACTGGATTGTTTGGCAAATGTCTTCTCTTGCCTTTATTAGTTTCATTTTGCTTTCTCTCCTTCCTGAAATGAAAGAGCTTTGTTTTACTTTATCTGAGAATCATCCCCTCAAAAATCTTTGGTCCCCAAAAGCTATGTTCTAAGGATATTTATTTCTTCGTCATTATTAAGTGCATCAGTCTTGTATACAGTTCGCTGTATCACCCTGGTATTTCAACATAAACTGTAAATTATTTAGGCTAAGAATAAGCTTCTTATTATTTTCAGTGGTGTTTCATGCAACATGGACAGCACCTCTAATGTTAACATTGCAAATACAACCACACATATGTCTTAATTATTCATAATTCAGGCAGCTTTTTGCTGGTTAATAATATAAGTCTTTTCCTCCACATGTATTTTTGTCCTGTATTACATTGGTCGTGTCACAATTCTCTAAACTATGTCCAATTTGTTAACCACTTTTTGGTAGGGAGAGGATGTTCTGTCACAGTACAGTTAATATTCAGGTAGTTTGCAACATGTTTTTCCTGCGTAGACGGTACAATGCACGATGACCTGTGTTACGCTATCATAGCCCACTTCACACTTTGTTCTGTTTCACTACTTGGATATCACTGTACAGTATTCATAAAAATAATTTATTATTCTTCCTCACTAATGACAATATAATCCTTATTTCTTTACATAAATTAATTCTTTAGATATGGCACAAAATCAAATTTGAGATAAATCATGGACATTCGAGAAGTCCCCTGCATCTATTCAGGACAATGCTGCTTATTGTTATACTTGTATTTATGTTGCTTTTGCCAGATTTTTTTTTAATTGCCTTTAGCATTATTTCTACACCAAATAGTGTTGGAACCTGGAAAACTGCCCAGTTTGCTTTCCCAAAGACTGAGCAACCTGGCCTCAGGCATATCCAAAAATGATGCCCCTGGAAATGCTTGGGGAATGTTAGTTATCTGTCAAACAGAAAGAAAATATGAAATTGGTTTAATGAAATGCAATGGACTTAAATGAAATTTAATTTTCTCTCTGAAACATAGCTTCATCATAAGTATGAATAACAATGTAATATTACATATGAATGCAGGACATGACATCGAAGAGTAAGACAGCATGTAAGACAAAGAATAACCTTTTTTTAATCACAGTTTTAGCATAACAACCAGACAGGTCCAGAGATACTCAGTGATTCCCCAAACTGTTTCAATGAAGAAAGCCAATGTCAGAGAGTAAAAATATCTAGCTCTTCTGACAGCTATCTCTATGCTCAGAATGCACTGCTGCTAATTTTTGTAGTTTTATCTCAAGTCTTGTGGCAGCTTGTGCTTTTCTTTAAAGACTGACCACTTGGAGGTCTGTGACTTTATGAGAATTCTAATTCTTTATGCAGTTTTTTCATCTTAACAGTTGCATTTTTAAAAATTATTTATAAGACTACGTTGCTATTTCATCCATCGTTTCAAAATGGTTCAGCTGACAAGAATGGAACTTGATAGCCTGTATTCTGTATTAATCTTCCTTCTGATGAAAATACGAAGTGTTGTCCTATGCGACTTCAAATAATCTGCCAAATCAAAGGGTGGGATTGTGGTTTGGGGCGGGGATTGTTTTTTTTATATCTGTTACTTGTTGCTAAACAACTTGGGATAATTCTTAATTATTTAAATTGCTGCACTCACATCTATCACTCCAGTGAGAATTTATCCATAAACTTCCAGAACACCCCCTAAGAAAAAAGTATACCAATGGTTCTGGCACTGGTTTGGTAGTTGCCATGTATCTTTTTGAGCTCTTTTCATTTTCTTCCATTTTTCTAGTTTGTATTCTTTCCTTCAGCTGTTCTCCTATAACAGTGATCTTCCTATTTTAAAATTTTCACACAAAAATTGAAGTGGTCTCCAAATTCCTGCCAGAAAATCCTTCTGGTTTTTTTGACAAGATGATAAATACCTTCACAATGTAGTTTTACTTCAAGTTCAGCATAGTTTCAGTGCAAATGTTAACACAGTAATACGTAATAACACCACCATTTACACATTGGGAGAGCACACATTTAATACTTATATGCATTTCTGCTATAGCACTCTTAATAACAGAGTAATGTAATCACATTTTCAGTCTGAGTAAATGTAATTGCTTTCGATGCTGTTTTCAGAAGGTCTATTTATTGAGCTAATAAAAGTGACTACACACAGAATACTTATACACCAGGGCCTGTGTGTGAAACCTGAGGCACCATCCTTTACAATCCATGTACACGGCTGTTTTTAGCGATCGCCAGAGATTTCACGCTAGCTGAAATACAGTGTGGAGAACAAAGAACTGCTGGTTTTAGCCTGTACACAGAAGTACCAAAGGTTCCCTTTGACTTGCTACCAGCCTGCTTTTATCTTTTGTGCCTGACAGCTTGCAGGACATGGACTGCCCAAGCAAGCTGAAGCTGTGAGGTCGTTTTAGGACCAGTCCCTCACGCAAATATCCTCGTTTTTCTTCAGGGCGGCCACCCATCTGCAAGGCCTGTTTTTCCATGTATTTTATGAGTGCTCGGAGCCCCTACCCCCCACGGCCTGCTGCTGCCAAAGGATCGTAAGGCACCAGAGAGCCCACCATGGGGGAGGCAGCACGTAAGGTGATTTATACCTTATTAGGCGGAGAGGCGGGGGCGGGGGGGGGTGAGCCCTGGGGGGAAGGCGCAGCGCCTCACACC